AACGCTATCATTTCTTCTTACGGTGCAAAGGATTCATCTGATCTTGATAATCTATTCTGTTTTCCAGTGTTTGCGTAGAAAATTTCTCCTATGTATGTTAATTTTCTTGCGGAGGTAAGATATGATCCTATTATTTTTTTTGATATTCCACGTTCACTAGTTTTTCTCCGTGATATGTTTTAGTGTTCTTTAACAGAAAGAAATTATATGAAATATTTATGCTAGATTCTTCTAGTTTTTATTACATTATGATCGACGATTTAGTTGGAGCTTCACTTGTATCCTCCCTTTGACGTCCATGTGCACAATGAAACTGGAAGTCCGGACGGTAGTTCTATAATGAAAATGGAAAATCTTAATAAGAAATAGGCAAAGCAAAATATTTATCAGTTGAATGATTAACATATTTCAAATTTGCATGGTGCCATCTAATATTAAGCTTTAGTATTTGGAATGTGAGGATTTCATTTCCAACTGAGGATTATAGGACCGTGTGCTTTAGTCTTTTTCTTGTTGTCTGTGAGATCTTATAAAATAGCAGTTAGAGACCGAGTTATGTTTTCGTTTGATGATTAGAACAAAAAAAAAAAAAAAAAAAAGATTAACATATCAAACCAAATGATAGAAATGCTGCGCAATCTTGTATTGTGCAGATCCTGGTTCTTTCTTGCAGGTGGTACCTTATGCTTTAATTTGTGCATTGCTTTTCTACTTCAAACAGCTTTGATTGTTCTCTTTTGATTTTACTTTTGGAGGACGGTAGTATTGAACAATGAAGGATGTTACGCTGAAGGACCTTAAACTGATCTTGATAAAACTTTCATCTCATCTTTTTGTATTAGGATCTTTACTTTTGTCATATAAAGGTGAAATGCAATTGTGTTCAGTGTTTCCACAATTTTATTTAAATTAAGATTACGCCTAAAGTTATTCTATCCACTACATTATGTTGATGCAATTTATGATGTGTGAACATGATTGCGCAAAATTGCTGTATTTTCTCGCTAATTCTAATTTTATCAGCTGTCTTTATTTCTGAAACAGTTTTGTTTGATTTTCCGTCTCATAAGTTTTGCCGTGAAATCATGTCATTATTTGACGTACTTAAAGTTGCACCGCATACTAAGAACTGGTAGTGCTTGTTTTTGGCTCAAGATTTGAATATTATCACATTCTATTGGCTAGTAGTTGTTTTAGTGCATGTTAAATCATTTGATTTGTAAGCTAGTGCTTGATTTGACATAAACTGATAATGAAGTGTCGGTTGTTTTTCCTATAATTGGCCTATATTTTGTTTGCTACGTTTCTTCCTTTTCTCTTTCCTGGTTATTCTCTTTCATATTGCTGCTTTCTTTTTTGCCTGCACATTCAATTTTCATTTTGATTCTCGTACATTTATTTATAATACTTTCATCTTATTGGCCAATGTGTGTGTTAGTCTTTTTTTAAAAAACGTTTTTAATTTGTTTTGCTTTTTAGTCTTCTGTGAAGGTTGAGGTGGTTTTTATTGTATTGATGATACCTATGGAAGTTCAATATCTATCTGGTTGAAATAAACCAGGGTGGCAATACAGTAAATATTTGCTTCTCAGGTAGTCTTTTCACGGTCATAAACTTGGTTCACTATCATGACCACAAATCAATCTTTTTGTACATTTGAGCTATATGAAAATAACTGAAGCACATCTATTTTGCTTTCATCAACAATATTTGTTTAGACATTACCTACGTTTGCATTCATTTACTCAATTAATCAGCGTTCTTGAAATTCAGTCACATTTCTTAATTCTTTTTAACTCATAACTCATCTACTTTGCTTTCATCAACAATATTGTCATTTTTATGTCATCATTGTAATAATATCTTTCTAGAGTAAACGATAATAGAAGTCATGGTAGGTTGGCAACCTTCTTTATAAATTGCAGTAGCCTTGAGTACATGATTAGAGAGAAATTAGGCTGAGAATGCAAATCAATTAAGCAATTTGTAGTCAAATAGTCGCTGACATAATGTTAATAACATGTTTCTAGTTGGCCGTATGAGCTGCTTGACTATTTTCAGGGTCTTTTGATGGAAGGACTGGCCAGGTATACTTCTTCTTTACTATTTTTCCTTATTCTCTCATTGTTCGTGTGTTTTTTCCCCTCCATCATGGTTTTTTTTTTTAAAAAATTATTTATTTCTTTTTATATGCTGCTTTTTGTATCACGGCCATTTTCCCTCTGTTCTTTTCTGTTTTCCCTGTATTCATTAGTTTTCTTTTCTTCAAGGGCTTGATGCAATGGATTAATATTTTGGGGTTCATGTTTTGATTATGCAGTTTCTGGTTTTACTCGATTTATAACTCTGTGTTTTTCAAATCAATGAATTTGTTCTTTATAGTTCTAGAAATGTAAGGTCTGGGGTGAAAAAGCGACGTCTCAACTACTGAACTACATGGGGCACGTTCTGGAATAGTTTAGAAATTGCTAAAATCACAGTTCTCTTGTTCCATATCACCAAATATGTCTTCGAATCATCTCAAAATCAATTTTCATTATTCAAAAAATTGCATTTAAAAGTATAAAGCCAAATATTAAATTGATTTTGAATAGTTAAAGGCATGCTTGGGAGTGATTTTGGATTTGACAAGAGTGAATTTAACCATTTTTACTCTCAAACATGCCATTAGATTCACAATGAATTTAGAAGTTAGTTTTCACTTTTATCTTATTTTCAACTATTTAATATCGGGGATTTTATTTTAAACTTTAGGCATGTAGGATTACACTTATTTGTTGTCGTTTTCTTATAGTGCCAATATCGGTTTATCTTCGATGTGAGTTTTAAATTTTTTTTCTTTTTAACCAGATTAGTTTGAATGTCTCTATATATTGTTTGGAGGTTCATCTTACCGGTTTCTAATTTTTCAAAACATTAAAAGGTTACCAATTTTGTCAGTTCTATTATTCATAAATTGTATATTGAGTGAAAAGTCATTTATTTAAAGGTACTGTCTTTTACAAGCTAATTTCCAAGAAAAACTTTTAATCCTTTTGTTTTAAGATTACTGCATTTTAAACGCTAATATATAAGACCCCCATTTTTGTATCCAGAAATTGTTTCCTTCAAAGTTTGACTGATTTTAAACCGGGTTATGTTTCATATATGATTTTTTCGCATTTGCTATTTGTTAAATTTAAAGGATTTAAATGTGTAATTGTGATCCAATCCTACTTTAAAAATAAAGTTCCTTTTGCACCGTTTCACATTATTTTATTTTATAGTAGATTTGTATTATTATTTTTAATTCATAAATTATATTGAATGGGCTATAATAGTAACATGTAGTTTTCTTTTCCATTCTAGTAATCATCCTATTAAAATAATAGTTCTATAATTAATTACATCTAATAAGTTTGATTTAAAAAATTGAATTTTATGTATATTTAACATTTTAATTTTGTCTGTATTTGTAACAACTTAAAAAAATATAGAATAGATCAAGATACTTGTTAGTCACATACTTCAAACGCATTTTTTGTTGGATAAGAGAATAAGAACTTGTGGTTTAATTTAAACTAGTTCTTGTTTTATTTATTTCAAAACTCTCATTTTGAAGAAAACATAAAAATTCAAATCATATTAAAATATGTCAAATCTCATGACTTGCTTATACTTTCTTTAATATCATATGGAGGGTAAACCCATCAATATACACGAACAATGATGCATACATATGTTTGGCTAAGGATTATTTAAAACCAATTTCATCACCTAAAACTAAAAAAAGAAAGGTAGAATCATCCCCTAAAACTAAAAAGGAAAAGTAGAACCACGTTAACTTGAAATCAGGGTCTAGACTACTAACCCGTTCTGCGTGGCTCTCTCTTTTATGGTTCTCTCATTGCGGCAACTTGACAGAAAACTACCCTCCCCTAATATTCTAATTAACTCTAAATTTATTTTTTACTTATTATTCCACGTAGAGTTTCTTATCAATTTTACCACAATATTAAATTGTGAAAGTATCACTATCATTTCGTACTTTTAAATGTCTAAATTCAATCCTGTATTTTTAAGAAACTCAAATTTTGTCCATGCTATTAGTTTGTTTTTTTAATTAGCATATATAGCATTTCTTTATAAAGTTTGAAAAACCATTCACATGAAAATTATTATTATTATTATATAACTACTTTTGATAAAAATTAATTTTAAAAGACCCAATTTAATATCTATTAAAAACATGGAGATTTAGTAAGTTGAAAATTCATAGACTAAAATGGAAAACATTAAACATTAATTTCTCATATTCAAAATTGCTTACAAGAATTCCATCTCATTCGATCAACTGAACTAGCAAGAACATTTTAATCCTTGCTTTTAAAGAAATTTTGTAAGAGTATAAGTCTTTTTTTTTTTTTTGGAAATTTCAAGTTAATTTTAAATTTTTAATTGATATAATTTTTAAAATTTAGGAGTATAGATTTATTTTTACCTTAGTTTAAAAAGAAAAAAAAATGACTATATATAAAAGAAAAAAGAAAAAAGAAAAAAGATGTATCGAACTGTTTAAGGTACAAATACTTACCTCACCGACGCTATGCTCGTAGATGTTCCACCAGGTTCTCAAATGTTGCAAACTTCATCCTTGTATCTGTAAAACGTAATGGTTTTATTTATTTTTTTGCATGCGTTAGCCAAGGAAAAGGAGATGGTATACCCTTGTACAACCTGCAAAAACACAGATTGTACAAGCAGGCAGCAAGCTGTGCAATTAAATACAGAGACGATACAGAAGACGATCATAGAGTGAGCATTTACCCAAGGGCACCTTCAGATTTGACAAATTTGGGAAGGCTATCAGACAGACCTCTGGCAAAACCTGGCTGAGTTTGAACTAACTTTAACAGCTTCAAAGGGGTAAAGAGCAACATCTGCAATCACTTCAGCAGATATAGAGCCAGCAAGATAGATCAATGTCTTGTACTTTACTGCATACTTGGGACCAATTTATATCTGAATAGTATTTCTTAAAGAATTCATACTTACCATACTTGCGTCCCACCCCTATAGAGGCCCGATTCCCTGCTCCTTTAGATGAACTCCAAAATCAGATGAAATGCTAGTGTTTCATCGGGTCAATCGAAACAAAAAGATGGCTGTTGGCATATGAATTGAACACACGAGGAAATATCATATATCACAGGACAAAGAAATTGATTGAGGATGAAAAATAAGTTTAGAACGTTGGAAATGCTATTACTAGTATGAATAAGTCACGATATTCAAATTTTTCATACACAGTACTTAAAAGTATGGTTGGGAATGGGACTTAAGTCCTACAAAATTAGCTCGTAAAAGAAAGATCGTAGCTATCTCCATAGAAAATTGAGTGAAAAAAAAAAATATATCATAAGGACTTATGTCCATAATAAACACAGCATACCGTCGTAGAAATATGCTAGAGTATGATATATTTAGCAAAAGAAAACATATTCTAACAAAATTGCCAATTACAACGGAAAATTCAATTTGAAGAAAATAATGAGACAATCACTAAATGGCACATTTTCACAATGAAAGTTTAAAAAACTGTTACAATGTAATGCATATTATTATAAGCTATGTGGATTTAAAGAAAACATTAAATTGCAAATTATGTTTTTATATGGATAGAGAACTATTTCAACTAACTTTTAATCAACTTTAATTGATTAAGACATATAAGTTTAGAAATTTGAAATCTATACCTTCATATGTTGTTGAACTAAAATACACCTAACATTTCATTTTCATTTGATTTCAATTCATCTTAGAAATTTATTTACATAATTTCATAAAAACAAATGTATGATATATATATATATATTAAAGCACGTCTTTATCAAGCAAGAGAAAACAGAGCTATAACAGATAATTTCGTACGACTACCACAGACCACAGACCTTGCAACAGATCGAATATGGAACTCTAAAACGACTCGTGAAACTAATAAGATCATGCTTCTGCAACAAACCGCTCGGTGCCAAAATCTCAAGATAGCTATCCACTCTATCTGCAGGACGGACTACAGAGCATCATTTCAATGCATATATATATATATATATATATATGCTATTTAAGAAGCTTTCATAAGAACTCACTCATTTTCACTTCTTAAACTATTATTGATTTATCTTGCAATAAAACTGAATCCTAAATGTTTAGAGCATATATATATTTGATATTTAAGAAGCTTTCATACAGAACTCACTCATTTTCCCTTCTTAATCTATTATTAGTTTATCTTGCAATAAAACTGAATCCTAAATATTTAGATCATCGAGACACGATCAAGCATATAGACTAGAAACAAGCAAGAAATGCGATCTGATTGAAATGACTAATAACGTGCCAAAAATTTGTAGCATAAAGATCAATATAGTTCAGCATCCGTGAGGAAACATGCCTAAATTTTATAGAAACACTTCAACAGCCACAAATTTCCGAAATATTAAAATACGGATGAAAATCAATTCGCTCAAAAACCTTGAGAACTTACTCTTTTGAGAAGGCAGTATTTAACTGCATATTGCACGTGACGAGATCGAGAGGAGGGACGTCCATGCGAGTGAGACTGCAGCGGAGGCTTCCACCGAGGCACAGAGGCGTAGAAAGCCGGTGAATACATTTCCAATTTCTTTCTTGGTTCAGCCGGAGAGGGAATCGCAAAGGCTTTCATCGAAATGAGGATTCGAGGATCTTGTGGATTAGAAAGGCCAAAGAGGAGTAGAGGAAATTAGGGATCAGAGAAGAACGGGACGGAGATTCTGAGATGGCCATGGAAGAATTGGAGAGCAAGAGAGAGGGAGGGAAAAAGGAAAATGGTAATAAAATTCCAATTCAAATATGAAGAGTTCAGAGTGTTGTGCCTCGTATTTATACCTCTTCAGAAAAATTAAAATTCCCAATGACAGCGCTGCCAGTTGAATTTTTAAATGGTGAGTCATTTCCATTCTTTTCGCGCGCTTTGAAACATAGTAAGCCATTCAAATAATTCACATTCCTAACTAACAATTGAGTATTTTTAATGAAGGATAACTCTCTATTTATACATTTTTGTCATCTAAGATAGGGATCACAGTTGTTCGTTGAGTCGACCAAAATTTCGAAGACGGTTGGGTAGATAATTGCATACATTCTTGGCTCGATTTGGCTCGATTCTGAGCATGGGCCATAGACATTGCTTTTGAAACCGCCCTCCTCGCCTAGATTCCGAGCATGGGCCATAATATAACAATTCGAGCATATACCGTGTTTAATAAGATCGAGATTCGAGCCCAAGCTCAATTACAATTCAAATGCTTCATCCAAGCCAAGAATCGGATCGAGTCGATCCAAAGTACTTAATGAAGTCCTTGATAAGTGTCACCAATAATCCCCGCAAGAACATACCCCGTCCTTAAAATGATGAAATCGCTTTGAATCTCGGACGATAAAGTCTCGAAGAACGACCTTAGAAATTAACTTAATGGCGGTATGGCAGTCTCTGCAAACCCTAAGATTTTTAATGATGTTTATGGTTGTTCCAGGAGCAGAGTTCATCACTCCAAAGGCAACAGCAAGTTTCTCACTGTGAACTCTTAAAGTGAGTTCTTTCTCCTCTTCGTCAACATCATGAAGAACTGAGGTCAAGTTTGGCACATAGCCTATCTTTTGAAGCTCCAACGTTAGTTTCTCCAAATACTTATATATCATCTCATGTTGAGGATGCTCTTTATCTCCAACCAGAAAAACATGAACTCTGCCTTTCAGTTCAACCAAACTGAACCCGGGCGGTTTAACCAATTGACGGTTCTTCATCATCGTTCTCATCCTTTCGACATCCGCCCACCTTCCAGCATCTCCATAAAGGTTCGAAAGTAATACGTAGTACCCACAATTATTTGGATCGAGTTCAAACAATTTTCGAGCAGCAATCTCGCCGAGGTCCACGTTCTTGTGGATTCTACAAGCCCCAAGAAGAGAGCCCCAGACAACAAAATCAGGTTTCATTTTCATTCCCTGGATCAAATCGTAAGCCTCATTAAGGCATCCTGCACGTCCTAATAGATCAACCATGCAACCGTAATGCTCGATACCTGGCTCGATATCGTATTTATGCTTCATGGCATTAAACCAGTGCCAGCCTTCTTTTATCAAACCAGCATGGCTGCATGCAGCAAGAACAGATACAAAAGTGATGTAATTTGGCTTCACTCCAGCCCGAACCATCTCGTAGAAGATGTCGAGAGCTTCTTTGGCGCAGCCATGCATGCCATAACCAGCAACCATGGCCGTCCATGACTTTACATTCTTTTCCTTCATACGATCAAAAGTTTTCTTTGCCATTTCAACTTTACCACATTTGCAATACATGTCAATCAAGGAGGTACCAACACACACATTTTCCTCCAAATCCATCTTTATCACCTACATGAATCAGCAGCAAATTCCTATTATGATCAATCTCAACAAAGTTAATTGTTAATATTTACCACATAACAACTTAGTCATTCATATGGTTTACAGACAAATTTGATCCCAAATCAATTTATTACTTATTAAACACTAGTTACACATTTGAAAGAACAAAACTAAAGTTTAGGCACTAAATTGTTACTTCAGTAAAAATTCGAGAGCCAAAGGTATTTTTTAACTTAGAAAATAAGATTCAAAGCTTTTTTGTACGGCTCAAGCTCACCGCTAATAAATATTGTTCGTTTTGGTCCGTTACATATCGTTGTCAGCCTCATAGTTTTAAAATGCATCTACTAGAGAAAGGTTTCTACACTCTTATGAGAAATGTTTCGTTCCTCGCTCCAACCAACGTGAGATCTAACAATCCACCCCCCTTGAGGGCCCAACGTCCTCGTTGGCACACTGCCCGGTGTCTGGCTCTGATACTATTTGTAACAGACCAAGCCCACCGCTAGCAGATATTGTCTGCTTTAGCCCGTTACGTAAGCCTCACGGTTTTAAAACGCATCTACTAGGGAGAGGTTTCCACGTCCTGACGAGGAATCCACTCCAACCAACCTAGAATCTCACATTTTTAGTGGGTTAAAATTTAAATCACCTGATCATGAATGCACTTGCCAGCCCTCAATGCCCCAGCATGAGCACAAGCCAGTAAAACAGTCGATAGTGTCACCACATTGTAAAGAACACCAACATGCCTCACCATTCCATGGAAAACCTCCAAAGCCTCCCCAGATAACCCACTTTGAGCATACACTGCAATCATAGAGTTCCAAGAAATTTCATCCTTCTCTTCCATCCAATCAAAAACCTTCCTAGAAACCAAAGGCTGCCCACATTTTGAATATGCATCCATCAATGTGTTTCCAACTCCAACGCTCCCATCAAAGCCTTTCTTTACCACAAAGCCATGAATTCCTTCTGTGATCCCCTTCCCTGATACTCGAGCGCAGGCTGATAAAACCGAAACCATCACAACTGAATCGAGAGGAATGTAATTGGCATCTCCAACCTCAGTTTCCTCCTCCAGAAAGTCCTTGAAAAGCAACAAGGCGTTGTCTGCTCGCTCATTTTGGACATACCTGTAAAGAGTAATAAGAATATGAACAACATGTTAAATTTATCATAATCCCTTATCGATGGCTGTGTGTTCTTCAAACTCAAAGAGTGAAAGTTCAAATTTACTTTAATCTATCAACTTAAGCTTTCAGATACAGCATTAGTTATAACATTACCCGGTAATCATCGATGTCCACGAGACCACATTTCGAAGGGGAATTTCGTCGAACAGTTCTCGTGCATCCTTCAACTCGCCACATTTCGAGTACATATCGATAAGAGCGGATGACACAAAAAGATCATTCTCGAAGCCGAAGACAAACGCTTGCTGGTGAGACATCCTGCCGGAGACGAGATCGCAAAGAGCGGAACAGGATTTGATGGCGCAGGGAAAAGTGGAGCGTGTGGGGCTGAGGCCAAGCTTCCGCATGGAGGAGAAGGCTCGAAGGGCTTCAACCGAATCGCCACTGCGAGCCAAATCGGCGATGACTGAGTTCCATGAATGCACATTGGATTTATCAACGTATTTGTTGAACCATGTCGCGAGATTGGGATTGCTCGAGTATCGGCGCCAACAGAGCTTCAAATGGAGCGCCAATTCAACTGAACGGCGATTCGGAATTCCCATTCACAAATCATTTGTAGAAATCTTCTTGTTTCTGGTCAGTATCCGCCATGCTTATTTAGCTTTCCTTTCCACATCTGTTTCTTGTTAGCGGCGGCAAGCAATTCCGGTTTCCCTAATATCAACTAAACCCATTTATTTTATGAATTTGTTAATTACGACCGTACACATTGGTCCTCTTTCGTATCCGTTTTATTTTATTTTATTTTTTTTTAATTTCAAAAAATTATATTTTCTTTTAACAAATTTTTAGTGAAAATTTGAAGAGATTTGAATTTTAAACTAAATTTATAAAATAAAATCATTTTTTAATTTTAAAAAATTTAAATATTTGTGAAATAAATTTGAAATTTTGAAAGCTAGAAGATTAAAATGATCGTTTTTTACCGTTTCTCCAAAAAAAAATAAAATAATAATAATAATAATAAATTGTATTTTGACATAACATTCTCGTTCAATTCTTCTATTAAAATTTAGAGTAGATATTAATTTATACTCATAAACCTTAGAATTGTATGAATTAAAACCACACTTTAATAGAATCAATTTACTTATAAATATGTAGGGTTTAGATTAATACAATTATTAATTTATATTTTTAATGAATTAATCCAAAATTAAAATATATAAATTGATTTGTTGAATAATATTTAAAATAAGGCAAGAGTGATTTATTCATCAACCCACACAACTTCAGAGCAATTTTGTAACAATTCAACAGAGTTCTAAAAACACAATTTCAAAACATCAAATCTTCGAATCAAACGTTAAGAACCAGTCTTAAACCAAAAACACTACAAATACTCAAACCAAAAGCTGAGATCCCATGATTGAGCTTCACAGAATTGGACCCACTCCTCTTCCCTATGAACTCGCCGGATTCCAGCGCCGGAGCAGCAGAAATGGGAGAAGAACGCCCATCGACCGGAGATGGGAAAAACGAAGACATATTTTGGGAAGCTCTGTGAGGCGGAACAGGTGGAGAAGCCGATATTGCAGAGACGGCTGATGGAGATAAGGCAAAAAGGGTAGCCAGGGACAAGGCAACGCAGAAGAATGAGGCGGCGGCGGCGGCGGCGGCGGCGGTAGCCATTGATGTCGGAGAGAGCTTTTTAAGAAATGATTACAGGTGGTGGGTTGAAAGATTGATGGGAATTATGGGAAAAGGAAGGGATAAAGCAATCAAAGAGGAAGTTTTGGGAATTGGGTAACTGAACATCACGGGAACGACAGTGTTTGTTATCCACATGAAATTACGACGTCGTTTGTTATGTCAGTAATTTTGTCGGGTTTCGGTCCTCGAAGTACAGAACGATTCCAGCGATCTTAGATGGCTATTTTAATGGCGGACAAGTTCCAGTCCCATGTGACGGCACCGTTTTGTGACAACATGTAAAGGCTTTCTTTTTTACTTTCTAGTAGCAATTTGGCTGTCTTTTTGCTTCCACTTAACAATAATGTCTGCAAATGATAACAAAAAGAAAAACATTTTGGGATTAATACATTGACACATTTCCCATCCGTCTCTAGCTCCGACGCCGACCCGTTTCCCCGAGATGATTGTGCCTGAAGATCAATGATAATGTCTGCAAATGATGATAAAAAGAACAACATTTTATGATCAAAACAACCAAGCAAGTAGATTTCCCATCTGTCTCTAGCTTTGATGCCAACCTGTTTGCCCGAGACGAACGTGCTTGAAGATCAATGATAATGTCTGCAAATGATGATAAGAAGAACAACATTTTGGGATTAAAACAACCACGCAAGTAGATTTCCCATCCACCTCGAGCTGCGATACCGACCTGTTTTCCCAAGACAATCATGCCTGAAGATCAGTGATAATGTCTACAAATGATGATAAAAAGAACAACATTTTATGCATTTTATAAAAATAACCAAGCAAGTAGATTTCCCATCCCCTCGAGCTGCGATACTGATCTGTTTTCACGAGAAGATCGTGCCTGAAGATCAATGATAAAAATGGTACATATCGAAAGTATCTATCATAATTCTGTGTGAGGTTGGGGGTGGAATCTATCATAAATACTAGAAGTTTACAACAGGAATGCAGGAATACTGCCTGCTAGTGCCAAAAAAACATGAGGAAAAGGATGGAAAAATAAATGTTCAATCCAAAAATTATATAAATGGCAGTTTTGGCCATTATGTAACAACAGATCCTCCTCCTACGGTGTTCGAATCGACCTGTAGGGGAATGGAATTTCTTGCACTAGAGAAGCCTGAGGTGTGCGGTATCGTTCAGCGTTTTAATCTGCCAGCCCGATTTCAGTGAATGCTGTAGAACAGTCACAGATGAATCTTCAATGCAAAACTTATGCAGCATTACCAAGCTGCATTCTAGGAGGCCTGTGAGAAGACATTTAATAGGAATTGAATGTGTGAAGACGGCGATACAAGTCGTACACGAGGAAGAGTTTCTGATACGTAGATCATTAAGTGTACTTTGGTGAGTTGCATCGCGAGGGGAGAGCTCGTCATCAGCTTCATGTTCTCCGGTGGTGGTCACAGTTTGCAGCCTGCTTTTGCCAGACTTTTTCCTCGTGATCCCGTGTCGCTGCCTTTGAGGCAAATCCCATTGCGAGGATGGGAGAGATTGGCTATCTCGATCGTGGATTGAGTTGGTTAGTTCGTGCGAGATTTGAAGTGTTTCGTTTGGATGGTGGGATACAACGTCTGACCTAAGCTTTTCAGGAAGTTCCAAAATGGTTCCGTTCAGAAAATGAACCATACGGAATTCAACCTGCCTTAGCGATTCTCCAGCTGGTGGAGAGAAGTCAGGCTGCATTCTATCGATGAAGCTCAATGTTTCAGGTGTATATATCTCGGACCGGAGGCAACGCTCCCAGTGTCCCTGACTCATCTCTGTAAGGGCATCTGAAGTTTGTATTTGTTCCTCCGTAAAATTTATTTCCTGCAAGTTCGTTGCATAGATGGCTTGCATAATTCAAGAAACAATGCAGAGAAAAGAATCAAAGACATAAGGGAGTCGCTTGTAGGCTGTATCAGCTACAGTTATCAATCAGTTTCTAACATGCAGGCCATACTTTCAACCATTTTGATCCATCGTCAACAAAACGAATCATCTACAACCCTCCCTAAGAACCTCAAGTGTTGAATCATCTATAACCATCCCTAAGAACCCTAAGAACATCAAGTGTAACAACCCAAGCCCACCGCTAACAAATATTATCTTATTTGAGCTTTCCTCTTCGGACTTCTCCTGTCTACTAGGGAGAGGTTTCCACACCCTTATAAGGAATGTTTCGTTCTCCTCTCTAACTGATGTGGGATCTAATAATTCACCCCCTTTGGGGCTAGCGTCTTCGCTGGCACACCATCTCTTATACCATTTGTAAGAGCCAAAGTCCACCGCTAAGAAATATTGTCCTATTTGGCCTTTCCCTTTCGAGCTTTCCCTCAAAGTTTTTAAAGCGCGTCTACTAGGGCGAGGTTTCAACACCCTTATAAAGAATGTTTCGTTCTCCTCTCCGACTGATGTGGGATCTAATAATCCACCCCCTTTGGAACCTAGCGTCCTCCCTGGCACACCATCTGGTGTCTAGCTTTGATACCATTGTTAACAACCCAAACCTACCGCTAGCAAATATTGCCCTATTTGCGCTTTCCTCTTCAGACTTCCCCTGACTACTAGAGAGAGGTTTCCACACTCCTATAAAAAATGTTTCGTTCTTCTCTCTAATTGATATGGAATCTAATAATCCACCCCATTTGGGGCCAGCGTCTTCGTTGGCACACCATCCAGTGTCTGGCTCTTATACCATTTGTAAGAGCCCAAGTCCACCACTAGCAGATATTGTCTTATTTGGCCTTTCCCTTTCGAGCTTCCCCTCAAAGTTTTTAAAACGGTCTACTAGGGTGAGATTTCCACACCCTTATATTTTGTTCCCCTCTCCAACTGATGTGGGATCTAATAATCCACACCCTTTGTGAGCCAGTGGGACCCAGCGTCCTCGTTGGCAAACCATCCAGTGTCTAGCTCTGATATCATTAGTAACAATCCAAACCCACCGCTAGCAGATATTTTTCTATTTGAGCTTTCCCTTTCAGGCTTCCCCTCAAGGTTTTTAAAAAGCGTCTACTAGGGAGGTTTTCACATCGATATAGGGAACATTCTACTCTCTAACCGATGTGGGATCTAACAAGAACGCTAGTGCTATCGATTGCTAGCTTGCCTAAACTATACCATTATAATGGCACAGCATAGCCCCTTCCTTATTTAGTTTGTTTATTCTATGAACTTCACAGATTCTAAATCGGCTTCATTGGTCCTTTGAACAAAGCGTTCCATAAAATTCAGACAAAGCATGAACAAGAGACTAACAAACCAAGTTAAATTGATTCAACCACAAGTTTAAACAGAATTCAATGCCTCAGAGGACAAATAACAAACAGTTTATGGGCATAATGAGACGAGTTATTACCTGGCAAACCGAAACTGCCATGGATCGAGCCCGATCCAAGGGAGACGAAAACACGGCATTGAAACGAACCCCCTGAGATTTCAAGAACACCGCCAACGCTCTCGCCTGCCGCTTGCCTTTCGGCGTCAAAGCCGCCTCAGGGCACCGCCCGCCAACCAAGTCCGATCTCAAATTCAACTCGCACTCCCCGTGGCTGATCAAAAAAACCTCCATAACCACCCGATCGTCGTCAATAGAACTCGACGAGAAGCTCCGCGTAAACATCGGCGGTGGAGGAAGCTGCGGCGGCGGCGCCAGGACATTATACGGATCCCAAACCTTGATCGCTGGCCCTAACCGAGGCGTACCGAGGGATGATAGCTGAGGAGACAACGGCGACGCCAATGCGTGACATGGTAGCATCTCCGGCTCCTGCTCGAGAACCTTCTTCACCAAATAGTTCTCCAATTCAACCCTCACCGGCTCGACATTATCATCACCATCATCGCCGTCGTCGTCTTCCTCCTCCTCCTCCTCCTCCTCCTCCTCCTCATCTTCCTCTCTTTCCTCCGCTACTTGAACGGATTCAGCCGATCCCATTTCAGCAAAATCAATGCGCAAATCTTCTCAATCTCAGCGATTTAATGCCCATGATTGAGCATTTGGAAACAAGAATTCTGCATAATACTTTAGATAGAAACGAATCGAGGGTTTTTTTTTTTTTTTTTTTTTTTTTTTTTTTTTTTTTTTTTTTTTTTTTTTTTTTTTTTTTTTTTTTTTTTTTTTTTTTTTTTTTTTTTTTTTTTTTTTTTTTTTTTTTTTTTTTTTTTTTTTTTTTTTTTTTCTCCCTCGTTGGTGGGCAGATCTAGAGATAAAAGGAGAACAGATCTGATCGGAGATGGGCCGCGGGGTGTAGTTTGGGCAAAGGGCTTTTTCTCAATAGCACACGAGATAGATTTGAATTAAATTGTTTTGGTTTTTGGATTCGTTGTTTCACATGATCCGTTTCGTACAAAACAATTAAAAAATTTCACGTTTATTTGTTATACACAAAAGAGACCAAACATTTTTAAGCCTACGCCTCCGCCCAATCTCACATGTCCAAACAAACTGTCGGCCTCTCCATGAAAGTCGGATTATTTTACCTTATTCTATCCATTTTTCAATTTTTAAAATATACTAGGGTCAAAAAATATTTACCGTATCATAAAAATGTGTCGATGTCTGAGTTGTAACGGCTCAAACCCACTGCTAATAGATATTATTCTTTTTGAGTTTTCCCTTTTCAAGCTCCACATCCTTATAAATGGTGTTTCGCTCTCCAATCCAACCAATGTGGGATCTTACACGAATCCAACCCAAGTTTTCTGTCACGCATCACAAATCTCGTGCATGCTTTTTTTCTTTCTATCTATATGAGATTGACCTAGAGTTCGATCGTACTCTATTAGATCAGATCGATGGACTTGCCCTATGGTATGCTCTTAAGGCTTTTTTGACTCCTTGGACTTACTCATACCAAAGTCTATTCAGATTAAGGTCGAGTTAGCTCAAGACCATTTTAGTACATTGACCTCGGCTTGCATTAGGGCTTTAGCCCTGAGAATTCATCCCACGATCAAAAGTAATTATTTGCCTAGAAAATTTTAATTTTAAAATTATTTAATTAAAATAAGATGAATTTCATTCATCATTTTCATATGTATCATTATTTGGGATCAATTTCATATGTTTTGTTACCATAATTGTAACATCTTATGTGAACAAGATAAAGAAGAAATTTCACGTGGCATTCTTTGATGGGCTAAAGCCTTTTCTCATACCAAACTGGCCCAATGGGCCAAAAGAGAACACTAGGTATTGATGAGACAGATTATGGGAATCAAACTTAAAATATATATTTAAACTTTTAAAATAATTTCAAAAATACCTTTCAACCTAAAAAAAATTATTATTATTACTTTTAAATTTTTTTTACAACTTCAAAAATATATTTAAATATTTTTTAAAAGTTTTAAAAAAATACTCATAAATTTTTAAAAATAATATTAATATTGTTAAAAAAAAATTAAATTTTTAAATATTCCTGCCCTTAAAATTGAAAAAAGAGGTGATTTATCCTCAAATATAGTTAGACGATTCTAGTTAATATTACTTTTATTCGTTACTAAAAAAAATTAAAAGATATTAATGAAACTTAATAATGTGAGATTTCACATACGTTTTATTATTTTTATAATTTATTTAAAAATTTATGGATACTAATAATATATATTTTTTAAGTTTATGATATATTTTAGACAAAAATAAATAAATAAATAAACAATTTTATTTATTTAATGCTTCTCTCAAACCGGTTATGAGTGGGAAGTGAAGCAGAAATAATAATTAATATGCATTTAAGTCAATGAGGTATAAATAATAATTAAAAAGAAATAGGTGGTGTTTAGAAGATACAAAACAAAACAACTAATTAATTAATTAATTAATTAAACAAATCCCATGTAACAAGCTGGCAATCGACAATTAATTAAAATACACAGAATATGTCCGAATATTGTCTTCCTTTTTCAATAAACACGACCACCAACGTTGTCTTTTAGCGATTCCCACCTAAATTTTATATATTTATTAATTTCTGTATTTTTTTTTTTAATGTCTGCATATATATTATTATTATTATTATTTATTAATGCAGCGTACAGCCGATATTCCAATGTCAATGGCTGAGGCCCTTCATATTGGGATCAGATTTAGATCTTGTTTTATAGTATTTTTAAAAGGTTAATAAATCATTTGACCTATTAATTAATTATTATGTATTTAAATTCAATTTAACTCCTCATTATTTTAAAAAAAATTTAAATACCGATGGTAAAAGATAACCGACCCAATTTTCCATGTCAGCTTAAAAATTGGCGTAGTATCGTCGAAAGAAAAACTTTCCCTGAAAAAGAAAGTCGTGTTGGAAAAAATGAATGTCAATATAAAAAAACAATAGCAACTAATATGAAACAAATTAAACATCAACGAAAAAATAGAGAAAGGGAAAAGACACACGAGAGAGACTTAAAAATAACCTAAAGTGAACTTAAACCATCAACCCACTCCCGAGACACAAAGGTTAGTAGCTGCATCGAGAAAAAAATATTAATTTTCTTTTATAATAGTATCCTTTTTTCTCTCGACACTATCATTTACTAAAAGCTAAATCTACTTCAATGATAATAATTATATTTATAATTAAATAAATCATCCATGATTTTATTTTTTAAAAAAATAATTAATTATGGAAAAGGGAATGGCATTGAAAAGTGACAAATATGTAAAAAGAAAAAAGATAGGGCTTTATGAGTAAATATTAAAAGAATTGGGGACCATGAATAAGAGAAAAAGAGAATTTTTAATTAATTATTTTGTATAGTAAGGGCAAGTTGTTGAATGATCAGTCCCCATACAAAAAGAATAAGCCTTCTACTTGTAATAGACTACACTCCCGACTAATATTTGAATTTTAAAATAAGTTCCAATTTTTAAAATTTTAATTTATTTGCTATAATTTTAAAATTTACTATTTTTTAATTTTGAATATATTTTAGATATTTTTTTAATTAAAATAAAGAATATAAATTGATGTAATAACTAATCTATAAAAATTAGAAGTTATATGTAATATTTTTTATTATCATATTGAAAAATAAGTTCGTTGTTAATATTTATTTTATTTTAAAAGATATTATTGTCGTAAAAAAAAATTAATGCGTAAAATTTAGAATATGAAAATGGAGTTAAAAGAAAAATATTAAAAAATATATTGTATTTACTCTTACAATTTTTTACATTAAAAATATTATATTTACAAAATTTAGATTATAAAATTTTGTCCATGTATTTAATATTTTGCTTGAAAAGTATTTATTCTTTTATATTTTAAGTTTTTTTAGTGTTGTGTTTATTTTTTATTTTTTTCATTTAATGGTATGTTATTATTCATTGGCATAAAATTATGATGACCTAACAATTCTATTTGATATATATGTATATATATATATTTTTTGGAATAATGCGTGGAGGGATATTTATATTAGAGGATAATAAATCTATTCCTAAAATTTCTCGAACCTTTTTTAAAATACTTAATCATTTTCCTAAATTTATTCATAAAATCCATAATCATTTTAGTAAATTTATTTCTAAATCCATAAATATAATTACTCAATTTATTTCAAACCTCTATAATAAAAATGAAATGAATAGATAAATAACTCATATATATATATATATATATATTATAAAAGAATAATTAAGCTTTCCCTTTCAATCATTTATTGTAAAATTAATTAAAATTATGTTAAAAGGCAAATGGTCGGTTGGAAAAAAAGTAAAAAAATAATAATAAATTAAGATGCATGCGTAGCGAATCCACAATTTATATATTGAACTGTAAATTAATTAATTAATTAATTAAAAGTAAATATTAAATACGAGCATGATAATATTTATTGAGGAACATAACTTCAACTGTGGTACAGCTGGATTTTATCTGTAACTTCCTGAATCATGTCCAACCTCCTTTTCATATTATTATTAATTATTATATGTTTATAATAGTCGCTTGATTACCTTTTTGTCTCCCAACATATATCTAATTATTAACACGCGCTTCATTTTATTACATTATATTAATTTTATATAATCCACCACCATTTTTTTGCCACGTATTTTTTAATTTTAAATATTTTTATATCAAAACATTGCTTTTTTACAATGGATAACTATCACATAATAATTGTTTTATTTATTTATTAAATTATGCCAAAATTAAATGAATAAACTATTTATTTTATGCACTTGGAAAAATAAATAAATAAATAAATATGGCTACAAAAATATGAGAGAGAAAGAGGAGAGAGAGAAAGAGGAGAGAGAGAGAGGCATTCCCAAAGTTGACAAACGAATTGCATTATTTTATGGGTCAAAAATGTTATAAATGTGATTTTCTCCTCAATTTCAGGCAGGATTTGGCAGCACATAATTTTGTACGTACACATACTTTATAATTAAATATATATTTTGTCTTTATTATAAAACTTTAAGCACTTCCTTAAATAAAAAACCCCAACATTTTCTGAATTTACAGTACAGTCCTTTTTTTAATTTCATGTTTCCCCCTAAAAATAGGGATTTTCAGTTCAGACTGACCCATTTCCAGCATCAAATCTTATAGTAACATTAATTTAAATTATAAATATTATAAATTAATAAATTTAGACAACAAGTTACTTAAAATAAAATTATTATTCTACAACAACTTCACCAAAATAATTATAAAATTATTATGCACATAATTTTTTTAAATAAGACAAACAGAGAAAGACAAGCTAATAAAAAAAAACGGTTCAAATTTTACGAAAAAATCGTTACATTTTTTATTATCGTGTTTTATTTTTTTTTTTTATTTTATAATTTATATCGCAATTAAAAAAAAAATTATACCCAAGTGAAAAGTTATATATTAACATTCTTAAAATGATATTTTAATAAAATATTTAAATGAATAGAATTTTTTTTTTCTTTTTTCAATATCGACAGACAGGATAATTATAGGGAGTGTTTCGATATCTTTCCCAACCATGTGGGACATCTCAATCTACCCTCTTTCAGGGTCTAACGTTCTCTGCCAAATTCACCCTCCTTCGAGGTCAATGTCCTTATTGGCACATAGCCTCCTCGATCCACCCTTCTTTAAGGCCTAGCGTTTCTCGCTGACACTCGTTTCTTTCTCCAATTGATGTGGTCGGCACACAGCCTCCTCGCTAACACATAGTTTGGTGTCTAGCTCTCATACCATTTGTAACAACTTAGACCTATCGATAATAGATTTTGTTGGCACTCGTTCCTTTCTCCAATCGATGTGGGACCCCTGCCAAATCCACTCCCTTCCGGGCCAGCGTCGTTACTGGCACACAAGCTTCTCACTGGCACATAGTCCAGTGTCTATTATTTGCAACAACCTAGACCCACTGATAATAGATATGGTCTCTTTAGGCTTTCCCCTCAAACTTAAAAAACATCTCTGTTAGTGAAATATTTTCACACAATTGAGGGTATTTCTTTCTCCTCCCAAAACGTTCCCCAACTAATTTGAGACATTACTTAAAGTTTATAACTTACTATAAAATTTTTAATTTTTTAAATCTTATATAGACTATTTTTGACACGGACTTAAAAAATTATGAAATTAAGCATATAATTTAAGGAAATATAATATTTAAAAAAAATAATAAATATTTAAGTAGTAACTGTTCATTAAATCGGACAGGTCAGATGCTCGTCTACAACCCCATGTTCCCTTCACTTCAACATCAATCTGCCTCTCTTTTTTCTCTCTCTTTCTGATCTGTGATTGCATGAAAATGCGTGTCGATTACAACTGCAGCAGAAATGTTCCTTTTCTTCTCCCATAAATTCTCCAATTTTTCTCACTAATTTCTCCGATCATTTTCGCTTTAACTTTTACTCCACGATACCAGATCCAACCTCCGCCGTCGCGATTTTCCGGCCGTCCGGTCGCCGTCGCCATGCTCAGATCCTTCGTCAGGTTAGTTCTAGTTTCTATTAGGCGATTCCTTTGTTTTCTCTTATTGTGTTGAAAGCGATCGCCGCCGTTGATCTCCGACGCCGCGTTTTGTAGAGAGATTGAGATTATCGGCAATGATCTTCTCAGAGGCGGTTTTAGGGCGTTTTCTTCAGTTTCCAGTCGTAGAAGGTAATAAATAATTCGATTAATTTTCACCGATTTTATTATTTTATTTTTAATCTTTTCCGTTTTGGCTTTCCTGAATTCTGTTAAGAACATGAATAATTCATGGAGGTTGTTCATCTCTTTTGCATTTTCCGTTTGGATTAATTTGATTTTCTTTGTTTTTAAAAATAATTCGAAAAGAAGATTCTGATGGATTTACTTTACTTTCGTGACTCCTTGGGATTCGCTTCATCGTTTTTAATAAACTTTTTTTTTGTTAAAATATCATTTTAAATGTATGTATTCATATTTTTATTATAAATAAATAAATTATGTGATTTTTCTTTCAAAATTTATGAAGAGGAAGGTCCTTTTTTAAATTAATTAAAAGTATTAAAACTAAATTCAACGTTTGAAATATATAAATTAAAATGGTATTTTAACTTAAATTATTTTATAGATCTTCTCGAAGTTTTATTTATACTCTTGTACTTTATAATTTGTTTAAAAAATATTTTTGAATTTTAAAATTATTTACAAATATATATGATATTATTATTTACTGTTGTTTAGTAAATTAAGATTGTTTTACAGTTATAATAATTTATTTTATGAATTTTTAAATATTAGTTATTACATATATTTACTTAAATGATATTATAGGTCATGCTTAACTGTTGCATCAATGTTCACATTATTTTAAGGAAAAGAAACTCACAAAATAAAATAATTAAAAAAAAAAAAACTTAAAAGAAACTTTTAAAATCCAAATATATAATTGAAAATATTTTGTGTAATTTAATTTTTTTATATTAAATATTACTATTTCTATACAATTTAAATTACAATTTATAAAGTCGAGACCAAGGGAATAATGCATCCAAACACATTTTTTAAAAATTGTTTTTTTAGAATAATATATTTTAATAAATAATATCCAAATAGTGTTTGACCTATAATTTTTAATGATTTGACTCATTTTTTTCCCCCAAAAATAGATTTAAAGTTTTTTAGAATAATATATTTTAATAAATAATATCCAACTCGTTTAAAATTTAAATTTATGTGTAAATTTGATGACTTGAAGTTTAGGAGTTTAATTGAATCACTCAAAGCTTATGTTAAATTTTTTATCGTGATTAAATAGTTTTGTTTTGCGACGATAATTATTTATAAATAATTGAGACGATAATTTTGTGGGAATATTTTTATTAATACGAATAAAAATAAATATAAAATATGAAAATTTAAGGAATTGTGCCCTCACCCCCTTCGCTTTCTGCAGCTGTCATTTCTGTCACAATTCCTTTTCGGCAAAATGTAATAATATTTAATTATAGGCCCGAAAATGACAGCATGAAAATGAGTCCTGCTCCTAATTTCTTTATCACATTTTTTTATTAATAATTCATATTAAAAGTGAGTTTAAATTTAGTCTTAAATATATTTGGAATTAAAGAAAATTAAAAAATAATCGTTATTAATGGGCCTTAATTATTCCCTTTTTGTTTTTGGATTCAGGCTGGACGGCAAGGTGGCTTTGATCACCGGGGCAGCAAATGGTCTGGGCCGGGCTACAGCCCAAGAGTTCGTCGATCATGGGGCCCATGTAATCATCGCTGACATCGACACCACACTGGGCTCACAAGCAGCGGAGCAACTGGGCCCCACCGCCAAATTCGTACAATGCGACGTGGCAGTGGAGTCGGAAGTTGCTGCCGCTGTGAACTTCGCGGTGGTCCACCACGGGAAGCTGGATATTATGTACAATAATGCTGGAATCACCGGACCGGCGGTGCCGCCGAGCCTAGCAGAGCTGGACCTGGCTGAGTTCGATCGAGTAATGAGAGTCAACGTACGTGGAGTCGTGGCTGGTATAAAGCACGCGGCTCGAGTCATGGTCCCATCTGGGTCCGGGTCCATCCTGTGTACCTCGAGTATAAGTGGGCTCATGGGTGGGTTGGGCCCACATCCCTATTCCATATCCAAACACGCCATTCCGGGGATAGTGAGGGCGGCGGCGACGGAGCTCTGCCGCAGTGGGGTGAGGGTGAACTGCATATCGCCGGCGCCGGTGGCGACGGCGATGGCGGTGAGTGGGATAGGGGAAGTATACAAAGGGGTGAGTAGGGAAGAGATAGTTGGAATAATCAATGGGCTTGGTGTTCTTAAGGGCGCAAAATGCGAGGAGGGTGACGTGGCGAAAGCGGCTCTGTATTTGGTGTCTGATGATGCCAAATACATCACCGGTCATAACCTTGTCGTCGACGGCGGTTTTACTTGTTTCAAAAACCTCGAGTTCCCTTCCCTCCACTAGTATACTGCCACGTGTGTAGATAAGAAAAAACAAATTTAGCCCCCCTTGTGTTTGTTTTTTAGTTCTCCCAAGTCTAAAATGTTTTAAATTCTGCTTTTGAATTTTTAATTGTTATTTGTTCATAATTTTATTGTTCAAATAATGAGCGAGTTTGGCAACATTGATTTTATTAGTTATATAATTTAATTTTAAGTGAATTAATCCAATAAATTAACCCTATTCCAACCTAACCTACATTTAACTTCGGTTCAATTAGTCAAGCTCAAGGATAACACACGTGTAGAAGAGAAGATGTATACTAGTGTACACATATGTCGAATCTGAATCTTAGACATGAAACAAATGGTATCTGAGCGGTACCTCTCTCAATAAGATGCAGCTTGAAGACAGATCAAGACAAAATGGGTGGGTGTTGGATGATGAAAGTCCCACATCAATTTAGGGAATGATCATGAGTTTATAATCAAAGAATACTCTCTCTATTGAAATGAAACATTTTGAGGAAACCCAAAGCAAAGTCACGAGAGCTTATGCGACAATATCATACCATTGTGGAGAGTATATTCAATTAACAGTGGGCATGTTAACTACGTGCATCGCCATATCGTGCGGGATGCAGGAAAATAACAAAGTACACCTATGCCAAAGTCTAACTATAGAAGATTGGTTAGCTCAGACAGATGCTACATTCGTATTCTAAACCCTAATGTAAATCTTGAGCATGGAGCGTTATATAAAAACTCGATTATATCGATCGAATTGAGAGCTAAAAAATAAGTAATATAGGACGAATTTAGGTCGGAGTTGAGTTTAGGGTATAGTTTTAAGGAAGGAGAGTGACAAAAATGAGAGTGAGGTAGCTATTGAAGCAGCAGTAGCACATGGAGGGGATTATCCAGCTTGGCTTACAGTGACTGCATGTATGGAGAAGTTGCATGTTGGCCACGTGTGCCCTTTGTTATCCATACTATCCACATTCTCTTTCAAACCCCAACTTTCCTTTCCATGTGACGGAGATTCACTCCCTTTCTCCTCCACTTATTTTATTTTAATTATAATTCCAACATATATCATATATTAATTAGTTTAAAATATGAAAAAATAATCATTTTTATTTTTATTTTTATAATTAATAAATTTTATAGATTTAATAGCTCGATCTCCAGTTCCATTTAGTTAACAGGGAAGAGTCATAATCTCTGTCCCAACCCCGTTTAGTTCTTTATTTTCCGTTAAACAAAGATTTTCTTTTATGAGAGAAAAATTACACCGGTTGTAATTACAATACATCCTAATCTATATCGTACTTTGTTGACTTTAAGGAAAGAGAAAAAAATGTGAATATTATTGTAGAAAGAGAAAGGAAAAGGGAAATCAAGATGAACAATGAAGAAGTCTATGCCTTTGGCCTGAAAATAAAGTAAAATTTAAATAAATTTTTTATATATTTAGATCGATAAATTAACTCGAAATCATAATATTTATAAACAATAAAAATTAAGTCGGTTCTTAATTTTTGACAAATTTGATAGAAAAGGGACTAAAAAATATTACTTATTTATAAAGTTGAGAATATAAAAATTAAATCATCATCAAAAAAATTATATTCTTAATTTTTGTTTATTTTGACCTTAAAAATAAATAAATAAACAAAATAATGTTTTTTTTTTTTAATAATTTAAGTTAATTTGAAATTAGAAAAATGGCGGTGAATTTTGGAGAAGGGGAGAGAATCACGAGAAACTTGGGCTTTGTTCTATAAAATTTATTCCAAAATTTGCCTTTCATCTCCTCCATTATTAATTTACTTTTCCAATTTGCAATTAATGTGGCGTGGTTCCAATGGCAATACAAAATTAATATATTTTTTTTAATTATATATATATATATAACTTTTATACTCCGATATATAATACCTCTTTCAAAATCTCTTTCTGCCTTTGTTTTCTAAAACCTCCTTCTTAAATCGAGTTCAGAAGCTCGAGTATACGTCGTTTGACCGTAGACAACGTAAAAACGAATTAGCTTAACTCACTTGTTGTTGGAAAGTGAGTCTCACACAATCGCAAGTCCGCTACCATAAAAATTGCGATTGTGACAAGTAGTATCTATTTACGATCGCACTTTTTCAAAATTTTAAAAAATTACATATAATTTAGATTAAACATAAAATTATATGATTTTATCATCAAATTAATTTTTTTAAAAAATTATGTTTATAATAAAAGTTGGATTAAATTTATAAATAAATCTGTATTTTACTAATATTTATAAGTTTTCCTATATTTTATTCATTCATTTTTTAAGATAATTTTGGATATTCATATGAGATATTTGGACTAAGACTGTAACATTAAATTCCGGTAAGTTTAAAATAAATTCAAAATTAATATTAACATTGCTTTTATAACATTAAATTACAAATTTTAGAGATAGATATTTTTAAATTAACTTAATTGAAAAAAATTATTCATGCTAATACGTCCAAATTGGTAAAGAAAAATATCATACTGATACAAAAGATAAAAACAAACGGAACGGTTATCTTAAATTGTCGTTTTCATTTTTTTGATGATTAAATTAAGAAAAACGCGTAGAACGGTTACAGATACATGAATATGAAAAATAGGAAAACGATTATATCGCGACAATTTAAATCACACAAATTTTGTGTTCAAAGAGCGTTTTTCTCTGTATAAGACATAACTAACAATTAAGCATCACGTTTCACTTTTTTAATATATATATATATATATATTTATATTTAAAATTTAATCCAATTAAAAAAAAATTAATTTTTAGTTCTTCAAATAACCATATGAATTGCATTAATAACAAATCTAGATAATATTAATTTATTCATTAAAGACGTAAATAACTCAATTTATACATAAATTAAGCTACATCGTATCCTAGTTGAGATATTTGATCAGAGGTGAGAAAAATATTGTCTGTTTTGGCTTGTTATCAATCTCATAATTTTAAAACTCGTTTACTAGGGAGAAGTTTTCACACTCGTATAAGAATGATCTGTTTGGCTCACAAAGATATTTATACTGACATGATGTTTTGTCCAACGTGCTTTGATACTTCAGTTAGTGTATAAATCGAAGAAGTGTTGAGTTGAGCTGCTTGAGATTAGTTTCTTTTTGGCTTGTTAAGTAGGGAGGAAGGTCGACCTCAGTAGTCCAACAAAACCGAGTGGAAGGGCGTTGCTCAACGGTTTATATGTTACTTTGAGGACGACAGTTTGATCTTTTGTGAGAGCTCACATCGACCGAAACGCTCGACACCGCAATGTCGATCGGGATGGTTTGCCTTTTTGTGGTCCCTTTTCCATTAAAATTTTATTGTGAAGAGGAGAATTGGGAGCGAAGGAGAGAACCACACATTGGCGGTCTACTCCTTTTGCGCTAAAACGTAACCTTCAAAGTTTAGAATATATTTGTGTTCATTTCGTCTCTATCTCTCACTCTCAGAAGCCTTTTCCTTTTCTTTTCTTCTTCTTCTTCTCTGTAACTGCCTTCCTTCACCATTTTCTCTCCTCTGCTCTGCAACTCTCTCCGCCCAAATGCTACCGAAATCCACCGGAATCCTTTGGCTTGACGGCGACCATCACGACGGCGCTTCTTGGAACAGAACCAACAACCACAACAACGATGACATCGCCGTTGCTGGCTCCGCTTCCTCCTTCAAATCCATGCTCCAATCCGACTGGTACATGAACTCTACTACTCCTCTGAATCCTTCTAACCAAGATTTTCATTCCCTCTCTTCACACCCCGATGTTCGAAACCTTCCTTTCAACTCCAATCCGCCGGATAACTTGCTCTTACGCCCCATAGATTCTTCCTCTGCCTGCTCTGCATCACAGGCTTTTTCTCTTGATCCTTCCCATTCCCAATCCATGTTGCCTCCGCAGAAATCCTGTTTCCCTTCTCTTTTTAACGTTGCTTGTAGCAGTAATTTTGAGAACGGCTTCGATTTGGGCGGTGAGAATGGCCTGCTTGGTTCTTACCAGGGGAACCAAGTTTCGAATTCCTCAGCCATGATGGGATTCAACGGCATTTCGTCTCTTCCTCAAATCGGTAATCAGGAACTAAGCTTAAACAACGCGGAGTTTCCGGTCGCTGATAACCCTCCGGCATTCGGCGCTGGATTTAATCCGACGGATGCCTTCGAGAGCTTCGATGGTTGCGGGAATGCTCTGTTTCAGAATAGGTCAAAGGCTTTGAGACCTCCTGAATCGTTCCCTCAGGTCGGCGGCACACAGCCGACGCTGTTCCAGAAGCGGGCGGCGCATCGAGTTGGCTCTTCCGGAGCTGATAAACTAGAGAATTTGGAGGTTTCGGGTTCAAAATTTGGAGACGGCTCAATGTGGATGCCGAATATGGAGAGGCTGATGAAGAACAGCGACGAGGACATTGAGGACGACAGCCTGGATATTTCTCACTTGAATTACGATTCCGATGAAGCCAATGAGTATAATAAGCTAGAGGACAATGTTAATGCTAAAAACTCCGGAAGCAATTCCAATGCCAACACCACTGTAGCTGGCGGAAACCAGAAGGGGAAGAGGAAGGGGATGCCGGCGAAAAATCTCATGGCGGAGCGACGGCGGAGAAAGAAGCTGAATGATAGACTCTACATGCTTAGGTCCGTCGTACCCAAAATCAGCAAGGTACGGATTCTGGCTCTTGCTCTCGATTTCAAGATAGAATAAATGTTCTTAGTTTTTTATGGCTCTGAATCATTTGGATTTCTGGCATAATTGCATCGAATTTGTAACCGTTAAGTGTAACAGATGGATAGAGCTTCAATCCTTGGAGATGCCATTGATTACCTGAAGGAGCTTCTTCAAAAGATAAATGAACTCCATAATGAACTCGAGTCGACTCCTCCTCCTCCTCCTGGTTCTTCGTTGCAGCCTCCTGCAAGCTTTCACCCTTCGACGCCGACGCTGCCGAATCTTCCCTGTCGTGTCAAAGATGAGCTGTGTCCAAGCTCCATGTCAAGCCCCAAAGCTCAGCCTGCCAGGGTAACTATCCAATTTCCCCCTTTACTTCTTATAGCTTTGGTGGTATTTTTGTGCTTTGTATCTATATGCAGCTAGAGCTTAATAAATTTGGTTCTGAAGAGCTAAGGGCATTGCAGTTCTTTCTTATATTAGTGAAGTAAATGATTGCTTAGTAATTTTAAGCTTGCTTGAATGTAGAAGCTACCATTGCATGAACTAAATTCTCCTTGATCGAATGGGTTAGTTCTGAAGCTTAATTTCTAAAATTTCCTCTGGGTCTTCAGTCAAATGAATCAATAGGACGTCCCCCAAATAATGAGATCCAATGATCTATCTGATACTTGCGTGGGACTTTGTAACAGCCCAAGCCCACTGATTGTGAGATCTCACATCTGGTTAGAGAGGGGAACGAAACCTTCTTTATAAGAGTGTGGAAACCTCTCCTTAGAAAACATGTTTTAAGACCTTGAGGGGAAGCCTGAAAGGGAACCTCCAAAGGGGACGATATCTACTAGCGATGGTCTTGAGCTGTTATAGACATTCTACATGTGCGCCAGGTTACTCTGAAGAGTCCTACCAAACAAGCTTTCAATGGTGTACTGTCTGTTGTTTCTTAAACTAGCTGTATCATGTGAGTGCCAGTCTCTTTCAGCTTCAGAAAATATGATCAACTGTAGGAGATGAATCCCTTTTGTTGTGCTTCAGCCTTTTCATCTTACTTCTGTTTAAGGAAGTCAGATCAACAGGATACCGATGAATATGAAACTTAACCATGATTTACATTCATTTTCTGCAACTATTCTTATGAACTTGGTTTCGTTTTCGAACATTTATCGGATTTGTATGCATTTTCTTATGAAGTTATGCTTCAAATCATGATCGGCATCATTCATATATAACAGGTCGAAGTCCGAGCCAGAGAAGGCAGAGCTGTCAATATTCACATGTTTTGTTCTCGCAAGCCAGGTCTCTTGCTATCCACCATGAAGGCTCTGGACAACCTTGGCTTGGACGTCCAACAAGCTGTGGTCAGCTGTTTCAATGGATTTGCTTTAGACGTGTTTCGCGCCGAGGTTCGGTCTGTTTTCCTTTTTTCCTTTTTTCGTCTCGCCCCATCGAATTCCTCAATCTGGTATGGTTTAATATATGCATATCTGCTCATGGAACTCGCCATTTCTGTCGCTTCGGTTCGAATTCTTCCATGTTCGTATTATATATATCCGAAAGATTCACTGTTTTTTTTTTTTACTCGTTTCAGCAATCCAAGGAAGGCGAGGAGATCTCACCCGAGCAAATTAAAGCAGTGCTGTTGGATTCAGCTGGTTTACATGGTGTTGTTTAAGTGAAGCTGTTCTGAAATGCAGCCATTGCAGTGATGTTTTTATGCTTCAACAAGTTCTGTAAATGCAACCACAGTTAGCTCCGTCTTATTCATGAAGGCGGGTGCGTTCCCACCATCCACAGCTACTATATTTTATTTTTCTTTCAGAACACACTGCATGATCAACCAACCTCATTTGGTTGAGTTCTTTTGGAATATGATTTTCTTCTGAACGTAGTTTCCTTCTTATCTTTCTCCCATTTGAAATTTTTCACTGCTCTAACATCTCCATGATGAACTCAACAGCCTTCCTCCAATAATTTTGTGCTTTTTAGATGCATGAGAGAAACCTAAACATAATTCAATTTTAAGAAACATATATACGATTTAGTTAGGGGTGTATGTAGGTTGAGTTGGGTCGAAAAACTCTTTTGGGTCAACTCGTAATTTTGAGTTGGTGACTCGAATAATTCAAATAAAGTTCACTATCGAACATAAATTTTATTTAGGTTGTTGAGTTTTTTTTTTAATTATTTTAAAAAATCTTTTACTTATCCAGATAGGTCCTACTAAGACTAGGTTCTATCGCTCGTAAAAGGCAATAGACCTCTATATATATAGTCGTTCACTTATGCAATGTGTCGTGATTAATCATAACAAGCTAAATCAGTAAATGAACATTTCATAGCTCAGAGTGTTTACAAATAATAATGATTCTCTGAGATTGAAATGGAAGCCTTGCAACTTATTTTCAAACAAAATATAAGGTAGAGCTATGGTTTGATAAACCTGGGCCGAAATACTTTTGGGCTAGACCCAACCATGAACTTATTTCCAAACAAAATTAAGGTAGATCTATGGTTGGATAAATCTGGGCCGGAATACTTTTGGGCTAGGCCCAAAAATGAACTTATTTTCAACCTGGGCCGAAGTACTTTTTGGGCTAGGCCCAATACATGGTTTGTTACACTAATTGTAAAGAGGGTTGGTGGAAACAAACGTTGTGCTTATTTCAGGAGTTTAGCTGTCAGTTTGGGTGGTAGCTATGAACCACTTTGGTAAAATTTGGTCGGTTTATTATTTTATTTTTTGATAGATTACAAAAAAAAAAAAAAAAAAAAAAAAAAAAAAAAAAAATTT